ACTGGCTAAAACGCAGTCCGCCAGACTCGCATACACTCGACGACCCGGGTTCGAAACCTTGTGAACACGTTTTTTGTGATTTTCATTTAAATTACAGATATAAAGCGGGCGCATGGTGGTGATTAGCCAAAAACACGGTGGTGATGGTGTAATTTCAGCGAAGCCCTAGGGTCGTTTTGGTCGTTTTAAAATGTTAAGTATAAAATGGTCTCTTCAGATGAAAATGAAACCCTAATCTATTCTAACCTAGCCGTCGGCCACCCTCTCCTCTCTCGTTCTCTCTTCTCTCTCTCTCTCTCTATCCTTCTTCTATTCCCATATGGAAGAACAAAGTGAAAAAATTAAAATAAAATTATAGAACAACTCGCCCTCCTTTCTCGCTTGTTTCCTCTGTTTCTCTCTCGATCTGTCTTCTCCCTACCCTTCTTCTTTCTAAGAACGATGATGCTAAGGGTAGAAATAACGACAACGACGATGGGAAGAACTGCGGAATCTCGACGGCTATGACCGATAGAGGCAAGGTTGTCTTGCGTATTGAATTATTTTAGGTGCTTTTCCTTTGTGTTACTTAAAATTCTAATCTGGGCTTATGTTGATTTGGGATTTTCTGGGGTTGGTTTCAGATGAGGAAAGAAAAAAATGGGAGAAACCACCGACGTTGAGGTTTATTTTATCGATGGCGACTAGATCTGGGTAAGATGCTTGTTGTGTTTTGTTTAATATTGATTTTTAAAATTTTCCTAACCCTCTCTATGTCCGTGGTTTATTTTTATTTTTTTTTTGGATTTTGGCTTTGGACATGGCGAGGCCTAGGCGGCGAAGGAAGATCCACCACCGGAGAATGAAGAGAGGAGATCTAGTTCGTTACTACCTAGATTTCGAACCTACTTTCATATTTGTTTTTACTTTATTTTTATGATTGTTTGATACATTTTCGTACAGGTTTGGAGAAGGCAGAGATTTGGGTAAGGTTAATCCTAGAATCGGCTTAGTATTATTAGGGGATTGATCTAAATAAAAAATGATATTATTGTAGGTTTTTAGTATGTTTGTAGATATAAGTTCATGGAAAAATGGTTTTGCTTACTTTGACTAGCTAATATGCGCTTTTCATTATATGTGAATCTGGGTTTCATTAATGGAGATTGTTTTTAGTGAACTTGTATATGATTTAAAGATCTTAGTTTTTGTAAAAACAGTTGTTTATGCTTTTGACTCTCAATATGCTAATCAGTTTCATAGAAAATGCAATTAGTTTTATTGAAATTAGGCTAGATCATTAATTGTCACAGCCACTGCTTGTGATTTGATAGACTATTGACTATAATCACTATTATTGCTTGTGATTTTGATAGACTATTGACTATAAATCCCTGTTGCTTGTGATTTAATTGGATTATAACTTTTGGTTGATTTAAAAAAACTGGTAAGAGTTTGTGACTCTGAAATTTTATTGGGTTTATGTTGTGGGTATTGACTATGTTTCTTGGTGAAAAGCGAAAATATATGGCAGAAATAGTAGATCTATGGAAAGCGATTAATCACGGGTAAGAAAATTGGAAAGCGAGTAGCTAGATTTAAATGAAATAAGTCAGCATAATCAATCCTAATAGAAGGAAGACCGTAATAGCAAGTGCTCAAACATAAACCACTTCAATCGAAATGAGTGAACAGATTAACTAGTTTAGCAGAATAATACCAGATATGAAACTTGAACAAAAGGAAACTTATTACATAGGTGACATTCCATTATGAAAAGAGTTACATAATTACAAAGCTGACCTGGTGCGATTCTTGCTTGTTAATACCCCTCTTTCTTCTACGATCTTCAGCGCCTTCTCAACAGAAGAAAGGGTATGTATGTTTCTGCTGTGCTTTTTTTCCTTTGAAAATCGTCCCCCTGAACAAGAGCTGTAGCGCTCCCCTTATAGCAGAAATGCATGGCACGTGTCACTGTCTGATTCGAGAGTTTTTATGCTGCCTTTGAAAGAGCACCCTTAGCTTGTAGGTCAGTTGTGGATAAGACTCGGCCAGGCCGGTTGGGTTGGACTTCATTCTGGGCTGGAATTGAGCATGTCTTGAACCTTGGGCCGAGCTGGGCTTGGACTTGGGTTTATCCAGATCTAGGCTTGGAATTTGGGCTTGAGCTGACAGGATTTCTCTTCTGTTGCATGGCTTATCAAAGAGTGGTCTGAACGTACCTAACGAATAAGAAAGCAAAATAACATTACCATCATGTTTTTTTCGATGCTATACACTACGCCTCGGGTTATACTACTCTCACAGAACCTAACACGGTATATAGATCCTAACACGGTGCCTCAACACTCTACCTTTGTGCTTTCTAAACCGGAGAACAGAGTTTTTCACTCCATGGGCGCAAGGCAGCGCTCACTTCCATTTGTTGATTTGGTATATTAGCCCCTCTCTCTATCCGTCCGAAGTCCTTCTCGTCCCTTTTCCCGCTACTTCGTCTTTCGATAGAATCTCTCTTGGAACTGAACCCAAAGGGAAGTTGCCCTCCAAATTAAGTGTTAATTTTAAGTTCATGGAAATCAACTATGTATTAGAACATTTGCTCCCATTATGAAATATAGTCTTTCTTGTAATGTTTAGCGTAGACATTTAATAATAAAGTTCATATGTTTTCTTTATCTAATTCGGTCTATTTTCATTCACCCCAAGACAAACTTAAGTCCAAACATCGAGCTATCTCTTGAGCTCTAAATATTTAGTGACAAGTTATTGGAGGCCAACAATCCTAGTAGTTACTGATGTTTGTGATTTGTTATTGCAAACAACTAGTATGATCTTAGGGCCAAATAAGAGCATACTTGGTAATTAATTGGTTATTATTGACTTGCCACTGCTAGTCTCAACCGATTCTCTTCAAGTTACCTTTTAATGTATAATTGTAGAGCAACGTTACAATGAGTTTTTTTTCTTTTGTAGAGCAATTACCCGGAAAAAATGTGGTGTCTACTGTTAGGATTTGTGTAGTAGCGAGTCAAGTTTTTGGCGCCATTGCTAGAGACTTTCTAGATTATTAGGAAAGGCAGAAGTTGCTCAATTTAGCTTTTCTTTCTTTTGTTTTTCTTCTCCACCCTTGCTTTTTCGCTTGTGTGTTTTTTCCCCTTGGTGCAGATCTGAATCATGGATACTCATGGCTTCTCCAACCATTGGGGTTATCAACCCCCATCAGAGTGGTATTACCCCGAGACTTCCTACAACAATCAAGGATGAGAAGACTCTGGATTCAGGTTTCAATAACAACCCCCCTACTACGGAGAACAACCAGACCATCAGGAAGCTCAAGAATAATCTCTTTACCAAGAAGGAATCCTCCCACAACCGGAGCGGCCATCGGAGCTGGAGTTAGCCATGGCGGCCTTTACAGCCATTCTGCAGAGCCATGCTGCAGTCCACAACTAGATCCAAACTATTAATTGAGGCTACTCGTGGAGCAGTTTGCTCAAGACATTGAGAGAACCTTGCCCATAACCGCTGACACGCTAAAACACAATACCAAATTACGACCAAGTGTAATCGCAGTCCGGAAATGCAGTAACATGCAAGCTCTAATTGTCAACCCGGGGTCAAGATCTACTGCCTACTCCGTGTATATCTGTTATCTAGCAAACTAAGTTGAGTGATTGTTGATTTAAGTAAAAGCAGTAAGAAAGCAGGAAATGATTCGGTTTTCCAAAGCAAGGGAAGAGTCACTCGGGAATGAGTCCCCTAGCTCCTTAGTTAGGTCTCAGTTGTAATTACCCTGGGTTGATTAACTGTTGATTAAACTGCGGAATATCCGACAGTAGCTTGGAATCTCTTAAGCTGACCAAGCCCTCTTAAGCAGGCTAACCGGCAGGCAACTAACCTTCACCGGGATAGACTGCTAAGGCAATAAGCACAGAACTCCACTACTGGAATTGGGTTCCAGTACAAAGCAGTAGATTGATTAAATCTCGTATAACCAATCTACCACTACCGATTGATGAAGCTCTAACAACCTAATCAGATTCTATCTATCTCAGGTTGCAGCGGAAATCAAGAAAAGATGATCAGACATCAATTGACTCAATGAATCATGCATCAATCGATTAAAATCAAACAATATAACGATGCCAAGTCATTACAATCAAGATTTCTAACACATGGAACTAGGGTTCTTCAAACCCAAGTGAGAGAAAGTTCTACTCCATAGAAAGAGAGAGGGAAACATAATACAAAAGCAGTCATACTCATAACAATGGGAAGAATCTGCTATGGGATGTCAATCTTCACTCCCGGGGATGCAATCTGGGCTTCATGGTGAGAAATCCACTCCAAATAGCTCCTAGGGTTTGTTCTTCGCACTTTCTCTCTTTAAAACTCTGTTTTTGCTTCAAAAAGTCGATTCTCTCTCCTTTGGCTCGAAATTGGGTTAAAACCCAGAAATTCGCGACCACACGGCCAGGCCACACGACCGTGTGGCTTTCCCAGCTGCCCGTGTGAGTGTGCAAAACGCCGGGTTTCACTTAAGTGGCTTCAGGTACGCTACACGGCCGTGTGGATTTCCAGGCTGCCCGTGTGAGCTCCCTGGACTTTCCACACGGCTACAAGTGGTCCCTTACACGGCCGGTGTGGCTTGCTCGTGCAAAATGGTGCCACACGGCCAAGTCACACAGCCGTGTGGGATTTTAGGCGTGCTCGTGTGGCTTTCCCAGCTTCTCGCCAAACGTCCAATCTTCGTCCAATCGACCCAGAACTCGTTCCCAAACCTTCATTCACATATTAGGACCTGAAATATCACAAACAAGAATAACCTAGCATGAAATCGGCCTAAAACACGAGAAATAAGACTCAAACGGTACAAGAATGGTGGAAAAAAACATGTGTATATATCAAGTCATCAATCGGTTACCGACCGACTCGGTAACAATATACCGTTTGCAACACGAATATCCGGTTAACGCTTCCAAACCGGTTATACCGAAATATCGCAACGGGGAGGGTCGGAAATGACACGAAAGGAGCAGGGAAACGAGGCGGCAGACTATGGTCGAAATCGAATGGAGGCAGAGCGGTGGAGAGGGATTCAGAGTCAGAGAACAAAGGCGAGGTCGCGGAGTGGAGGCGGCGTCGGCATCGGACATGGAGAAGGGTTGGGACATGCGTGGTTTCATCCCACACCACTTCTGGACGCCAGTATTGGTATACCGTGAAACCCTAGATATATAATGGCATAGGGGCCGGTATACCGAAACGGAGGAGTCTATTCAGCAATCAGCGAAGCAAACAAAGTGGGCTGAGAAAGTTTGTGCACAGCTTGCTCAGATCGCCTTTTTGCTTCCATACAAGAAGAGGAGGAGGATGAAGAAGCTGCAAGGACATTGTGGAGCAGACAGAAGTTGTCACGGAAAGCTCCCATGATGATCATGATCAAGAATTTCCTGTTATAGCCGATCATACCTTTCCACATCCCACACCGAGCATTGAAGAGGCGAGCATGAGTGAGGAGATGCAAGCTAATCTTATTGAGAACATTGCATTGGGACTTGCTCTCCAATCCGTGCTAGAAGAAAAAGAGCAAGAAAGGATGAGGAAAGAAGTTGTGGAGGATGACAGAAGTGAAGCAGAGGAAGTACTTGATCTTTTCCAATGGGAGGAATCGAATTCCGAGGAAGGAAGGGGGGGGGGGGTTGAGGAAGCAATTGGTGTCTACGATGAGGATGAAGTTAAGATGGAAGAGGCTTGCACCAGCCATGAGTTACAAGTGATATCTCCACCAAACTTCGAGGAGCTGCTTGGCAGCGACCCATTTGCAGTGTCTCTTTGCCAGTCCAAGGCCACATCGACATCGGTCCCTCTTGTGTCGCGATGGTGGTCAATCATTGTTATCATATATGGTTTGGGGCAATTAGACGACAGAGAAAGAGAAGAAGAGGTCTCTAGGGTGTAGACTTTCACTACATCAAGGGAACGAGCCATTTTCATCACTTGCTATGCCACCTGATCGTGACTTGAGACTCCACATCATCAATGAGAACCTCAACTTCAAGGCAGTTTTTGGGTGGACCGAAACTTAGGATCCAACATCCGGCTCATGTGAAAGAAGCGCTTGTTGGGAGGCAATCCAACTAGTCGGTTTGCATTTCTTTCCCTATTTCTCTTCTGTTGAGTCAGTTGTGTTCTTTGATTTTAGAGTCAATAAATCAACCTTTGTGAGATTTTGTGTGGTGTTTGTGTTGCGACTGCTCTCTCTACTCACTTGGGATACACCACCTGCCTTGTTTACCAACATTCACACTTGTTATGGCAAATTCATTCTACCCTACTTATCTTTCCTCCATTGAGGACAATGTCATGCTTAAGTGTGGGGGGATGTTCCATTGTGTTTGCTTATGAATGTTTGGATGTGCTTGTGTGCTTGGAGCCTAGTCGCTGTCCAAATCTTCGATTTAAGGGCTCCAAGTATAGATGTTTGCATGATCATATTGGCACTATGGTTTATGTGGTGAATCGATTAGCTGTTAGCATTGATGCATGATAACTTGTTTATGACTGAGACAACCTATAATGATGACCGAGACATGCAGTAGAGTTGTGTAAGGGTTCATTTTTTCAACTGTTTGCTTACCAACTGCGACTTGGATTAATCACTCATTTTCTACAGTCGTTTATGCATCTATTTCAGGAAATCATAATGAGAGATAGAGCATATAGGTAGCACGTGAGATTTGAGTGTGCTCGTTTCTTTCTCTCCCATGATGTGTAGCATTCACGTTGTAACTAATTAGGATGCTGGAGGCATAGGATTAACCCACGACTAAATTGATTGTCCTAGCGTGTCATACCTCCTAGTCAATCCCTTTGAACCGTGTAACTTTCTTTCTTCGTGTCTAAAATGAAAAAAAATCACCCTTTTTATCTTTGAGGTTCCACAGAGTGGTTTTTGCATGTTTTTTGCTGGAAATAAGATGAGGGTTGGAGGTAGTTCTTAAAAGTTGGGCATGTACTTGCAAGGATAAAAGAATTTGGCAAAAGTGGTGGTTCTCTAAAGAAAAGGAAAAAAAAAAGAAACGAATGAAAGCAAAAGAGAGCCACCGCAATAATCTTAAACATGCCCATCAAAGTAGTGTTTCTTAGCAGCCTCGCTTGGAAATACTGATATTGGGACCTCCTTTACTCTTGTGCTCTAAAGAACTTGATTAATGCTGAATAGCAGAAAGAAAGTAATTGGGTTGTATGAATGTCGCTGTGTTTGGTGTGGAACCTTGTGTTATGAATTTCTCCACCACCTAACAGGCTTTTTTTCCATGTCCAAGACCCTAGCCAGTCATCTGAACTCGTGTCCAAGACCTCCTCACTAGTTAGTGCTGACACCCAATATGTGAACTCTAGCATTTAGAGGCTACCATCACAGTGAAGAGATGTTAGGGATTGAGAGTATGAGTATGCACACGTTTTGCATCGAATTTTGTCCCGACCCCACTAGTAAAGAGTGAGTGATTCATTTTTAATATTATATACCCGGTGAAGATCTAGATTGCTCAGTCTTGATTCTGATGTCTTGAATTCATGCATGAGGTGACTGTTTTAAATGAGTGGTTGAGTCGAGTCTATGTTGGTCGGTGAAGAGAAGGGAGATTCTTCCTCTACCCAGTTTTGTTGCACTCGAATGTTATCTATGGTGGTTGTCCAGGTTGCTATTGCTGTTATTCGTGTGTTGATGTCTAAAAGTCAGTATGATTCACGTGTTTTGTGCCTATATGATATGTCCCCAAAGTTTGCATGGTCAAAACGTTTTACGCTGCCTTGTATCTGACTTGGTTTTCTTGGGGACAAGCAAACGGTTAAGTGTGGGGGAATTTGATAACACTGTATTTGCATATGTCTTCCCCTTCTTTTCTTGATCATTTAAGCTTGCATTATCACTTCTTTGGCCAATTTTATGCTAGGTTGTGTTCCTTTGTCGTATTTCAGGTCCTGGCATGTAAAGTGAAGCATAGGCCCAAGTTTCAAGTCAATTAGAGATCAATTGGCAACTCGGGAGCAGAAACTTAGGCATGAATCAAAGAAGAATGTATTTCTACCTCATTTGGGATCAAACGACACCTGAATAGGCTTAAACTACACCTGAACTAGGACGAGGCTACGAGCATCTGGGATCAATCGACACCTGAATCGGAGATCAAACGAGCTCAAATTGGGCTTAGAAATGCATGCTGGAAAATGTGCACGGACGTGCGAGTTTTTCAGGAAGTTTGCATGACAAAAACCTCAATTTGCACAGCCGTGCAAGTCGGGGGTGCAAATCTCAGCGGGTATAAAGGCTGTTTTTCAATTTTTGGAGAGGGAGAGCTGGGTTTTGGATCCTAATCACCCCAGGGACGAACACTAGAGAGAGAGCACCTTGTAGGATTCTTGGAGCTATTTTGTAGGATTTCTTCACCATTGGATCTCGGGAATCAAGTTTGGAGATGGAGATTGAAGATCTAGATCAGATTTCTGCATTCTCTCTCTTCTCTATGGAGTAACTTCCCTCCATTTAGGTTGTGTGGAACCCTAGCTATGTTTTTTTTAATGGATGTAACTTCCCTCCATTTAGGTTGAGTACTCCTATTTGATAATCTTGAGTTCATATTCAATCAATGCATGTTTTCATGAGTCAATTATGATTTTGTCAAGATTATTGATTTTGCTTTGATCATATGAGAGCGTACCTGATTAGATTAATAAAGCACCATAGATTGATAGTATTGGATCGATTGCTTTAGTTGAGGGTCCATTCACTGCTTTGTATCGATTGAGAACCTCATTCGATAGATGGAATCTAGTTAAGAACGCCTTGATCGGTTGTTCTAAATAAGGATACGTCCCTCTAGGAAATCGAATCAAGAGGGCCTTGATTTCTTTAGTCGAGATTTAAGGTATAGTCTAGGATTCTCCGCATTGTGAATGAAAGTGAAACAGGTTAGAGATCATCAACCATTAATCTGGCTAGTGGCTAGGGGGAATCATACCTAAGTGAGTTCCCAACCTGTAATTATTAGTCTAACCTAGAGTAGCTTGTAGGAGTAGTTTAGTTAATCAAACCTTAATCTGATTTGCTAGATAACAAGCTGAAGCTGAGCAAATTTAATTCTAGAGACCTCGTGGATTCGATATTTATTACTTGCACCACTATACTGAGACCTCTTCATTGCTTATACTTGGCCAATGTTGAGAGTTGATGTATTTTAGATTTGTAAATCGAAGCTATCTCACGTCACTCCTAACAAAGCCAAGTATAACTAAGCTAGGGATGCAATAAATGGCTAGTCGTATTCAAAGGGAATGTTAGGCTAACTATCACTTCGCTCTGAACTAATAGCTAATCAACTCGGAAGGTTGGGAGTATAAATAACCTAAACTAACCTACCTAAATAACCAACCAAGTGGTTGGGAGACCGCTGGAGAAGATATGGTTGCCTAGGATTGAATTTCTCTAGCTATAGTTTTGGGTATATAGGATAGGACCCGGAACTCTCTAATCTTGGAATTTCAGTTATTACTCTCCATCCTCCTAACACAGTCCACAAAGACCCAATGTCGCCTTAGTCAAAGTTTATGTGCTAGGGATGCTCACTTAGTTCCTCTCAATTGGTTCAACCTATCATGCACACTAGATTAGTGTTTCGATCAGAATGCGTATTGACCTCTCTAGCGTTGCTTTAGGAGGGCATTCCTATAGTAGGGGTTTGGTTGCCACGTCCACTAGGGAACCCTATGACAATTTATCTACCCTTAATTTTCCATTTTGCCTACCCAGTCTGACCTTAAAATTCCCACCTAGTTCTGGACTCAATTGTATGCTAGTAGGGAAGAGTTGGGATACAAACCCAACCATAAACGGAGCATATAATCACTAAAACAAACATATCCATACATAAACCCATCTATATAATTGGGTTCATTTTTCCTAAATAACCTTGAGGGTCAAGTCATAGAAAGAGAAAGAAAATACAAACTTAGAATAAGAGTAAGAGTAATGGTGAAGATCATTTTCTTCTCCTTTCTTGCACCTTCTCCTTGCTCCTTGAGTGGATCGAATCTTCAATTAAGCTCTTCCAAAGTGTTTCCAACTCTTAAAACTGCCCAAAACCCTAATATTCTCACTCTAGGTCGGCTCTCCTTTGTGAAGTGCAAAAAGGGAGTATTTATAGAGTGCTAGTGCAGATCACAACCTCATGGGCGTGACTCGATAGTCACGGCCGTGACATGGGCATGACCAGGTCGTGAAATGGGCGTGACCGAGCCGGGACCAGCTTGGAACGTCGTTGAATCACCCAAAACTTCCCGTTTTCATTTTGTCTTCAAGTTCCAAGATCTTGGCCTCCTTCGTGAGATCACAGCTGCGATCTTTTGTGTCACGATCTTTTGTAGGCTTCTTATTGAAGTTCTAGACCACTGTTCACGGCCGTAATGGTCAAGCCCGCAAACATGGTCTTAGACTGGTCAAGGGCCGTGACATGGCTATGACCTGTGTTTTTTCACCCCTTCTTGCTACTATGCTTCCCAATCGTGCTAGGATAAAATCCAAGCAATTGCTGATCAATCGTAGATGGCTTCAAGTCCTGAAATTTTATAAAAAACACTAGAAAAGCATAAAATACGACAAAGTGGGGTCAATTTTCCCATGAAAACCTTCATATCAAGCTAACACATACCAAAATGAGTGTTTTGCAAATAGGAGCAAAAATATGCTTAAACTAACTTGATATGTGGTCTAGATACGGTAATTTATCGTGAAAATGCCTTGAGAATGAGGACCAAATAACACCTATTTTAGGTGTTATCAATTCCCACGCACTTAGGTGTTTGATTGTCCCCAAGAAAATATACGATTAAATCATGCAACTCGAGGCATCTAAATCCATCCACACTTATGGTGTTTCGTAGGAGTCGGGTTTTTAGTGACTAGGGTTGTCCTAATTCTACATGATCTTGCTTGATTCACTCAGGAAAGTTTGACATGAATGTTCTCAAATGACTGTGATAGGTACAAGGTGTAAAACAAAGCTCTCAAAGGTAGGTGCAAGGACCGGTGCACTCACTATTCTTTTATACACTTTCTCGGAAACCTTTTATTCCTATCTAGAGTCTCGCTTTGGGGGGTTTTTATTCGGGTAGTCATTCATCTTAAAATGAGTAAATGCACTTAGACACTTATTATTGTGTGCTTGTTAGCAGGGCAAGTAAGGATAAATTCTCCTACCTATACCTTGGCCCATGAGGCGACATACACGAGGTTATAAAAATAGTGAAAAGATGGAAATGGACACGGCCAAAACATCTGATCTCCCATGCACATTGTCCCAAAAGGCACTCCCATTACTCTAGAACACGTTGCCACAACATGTTGCATTAGACGCTACACCCCACTTTTGTACGCTAGAAAGCAAATAAATGAGCACCTTTCTGATGGCCTAGCCAAGAGAAATAGGGTTCGCTCAGATTCAAACCTATCACAAATCATTCTTAAAACATACATACTCACCTACATTAAGAAATCAAACAAAACCACTTCTACTCAAGACATCCCACGCACTACGATCCTCAACATTGGTCAAGACAATGGGGAGCAAGATTTAACGACCCAAAGCAAGTAATCGCATTGCAAGCAGAGGAGCCAACTTGGAGCCCTTAAGATTGAAATGGCATGCATACAAGGATCCAAGTGGTCGAATTGTGCTAATTCATCATCCATAATCACTATAAAAGCACACTCTCTTGTTCCAACATTCATAGCATAAGCGAGCACAATCAATAACAACATTCCAAACAAGCATTCATGCACAACCTTCCATACTAAAGGAACACATTTTCCTCAATGTGAGAAGGGTAAGAGGATATGAGAACAAAGTTACCAAAATGTTTGATCGATGTGATTGTGAGATTGAAGGGTAGGGTGGGTTAGTTTCATCCTTGAGATATCATACCTAAGAAAAGAAATAAAAGGCAAAGAACACACCCAAAATATTTATTTATTAAAAATAAAAGATAAAGGATAGAGAATGGCCCTTGCAAAGCCAAGAGTTTGTCTCTTGGAGTAGGTCTTTCAACCTCTAGGTGACACTTCTAGTTGTTGTTGGTATTCTTGCTCATGGTGTAGTTGTGTTTGAGGCTTGATTCATTATGCAGAGTTCTTAGTGGTCCGGGCTCTCCAATGTTTGGAAGTTTGATGCTCGTATGGTCGTACCACTTCCAGAAAGGGAGCATTGGAACTCTCCCCTCATCAAAGGATTAACCCTTAGAAGGATCCCTACACAAAAGAACAAACGATACGAAACCATGCCAAACACATTTTTATACATTATCAATTAATGAAATGAACATTTCTTACCATCCCTAGGATCCAAACTTATACACCCCCACAGTTGATGTTTACTTTGTACAACAAGGGTGCATAAGTGAAAAGCAATGTCGAATTAGGAAGGGTTTATGAGTCAACCTGCAATTTTGTTGGGTCTTTATTAAACTAGAATGATCTTATATGTGGTCTTAAAGAATCTTGGTAGATGAATTTTGAGTTTGAATCTTTTGTGTTTCTTGAGAGTCAATATATCATACCATTGGAGTATGATGGCATGTGGCACCTCATAATAATAACTTGAGAGTCAACATATCATACAGTTGCATAAACTCCATGTTGCGTGATAATACGATGATGATGTGATATTAGATGAATTATTGATAATATTCTTGATTGAATAATTCGTATGAATTATTAGAATTAGTTATACTTTATAAATATCCCATAATTTTCAGGGTGTAGGTGAGAGTGGACCACTAGCTAGCTCAACTTAGTAGTTGACTCATTTTACTTCATACTCAGCGGGTATAAGTGACCGGACTATTAAGGGTACCGTTTCTTCCTACTTTCACCATGAGGTAGCAAAACTTCCTATTCTGGTAGGGTCTTTTTGTTGATTTTGAAAAATAATGCTCATTTTATGAAAATTGAATAAGTGTGTATAATTGCTAGATAATTACATTGATTGAGGTATAGTTTACTAACCCTGTGTTAAGGAGGAAAATAGGGGAAGGGAAAATAGGGGAGGAAAGTGGGGGTTCCAAGAGTTTTCCTCATTCATACAGCCAAGAATAGTGTCAAGGGAGGGAAAAAAAAGGAAGGGAAATGGCATGAATTGTCAACGCAACGGATCGATCTTCTCAAGGATGACGAGCAGAGTATCAATGCCCCGTAATGTAGTCACTTATTCCCTCAACGCAACAGATCGATAAGTAGCAAAAATATTATCAACACTTAACTAAATTATTACAATATTACATAACGAAGAAAATAATATTTTTATCACACTTTTCAATTTACCTTTTCTCTCCCATTTTCCCCATCACTTTCCTCCATAAAACAACATTTTCCCTCCCCTCCATATTTTCCTTCAGAAACAGGGGTAAAGGTTCATTCAAAGTAATTACCCTCTAAGAGTTAGTCTCGTTGCACATGGTAGAAAATATTTGAATGTGATATTTGCTTAATCACGTAAGATAATAGTGAAATGATTAAATTTGAACCGTATTACCGAGAAAGTTTATTGTGCAGGTGAACAATAAGATTAACCGAGGATATTTAGGGTGGTCCGCTCATTTTTCTTTATGCTCATAAAACAACTTAAAGATCATTCTAGAGGTGATCAACAATGATACGTCTTAGACCATGTTGGCTGTTTTGAGATATATGCACATTGTGGCACAACTCAACCATCAATTAGGATGTTAACACTTTTTATATTATCTAATAAAATATGGCAATTTACAATCTATCACTTTCCTCCATAAAACAACATTTTCCCTTCCCTCCATATTTTCCTTCAGAAACAGGGGTAAAGGTTCATTCAAAGTAATTACCCTCTAAGAGTTATTCTCGTTGCACATGGTAGAAAATATTTGAATGTGATATTTGCTTAATCACGTAAGATAATAGTGAAATGATTAAATTTGAACCGTATTACCGAGAAAGTTTATTGTGCGGGTGAACAATAAGATTAACCGAGGATATTTAGGATGGTCCGCTCATTTTTCTTTATGCTCATAAGACAACTTAAAGATCATTCTAGAGGTGATCAACAATGATACGTCTTAGACCATGTTGGCAGTTTTGAGATATATGCACATTGTGGCACAACTCAACCATCCATTAGGGTGTTAACACTTTTTATATTATCTATAAAATATGGCAATTTACAGTCTATCACTTTCCTCCATAAAACAACATTTTCCCTCCCCTCCATATTTTCCTTCAGAAACAGGGGTAAAGGTTCATTCAAAGTAATTACCCTCTAAGAGTTAGTCTCGTTGCACATGGTAGAAAATATTTTAATGTGATATTTGCTTAATCACGTAAGATAATAGTGAAATGATTAAATTTGAACCGTATTACCGAGAAAGTTTATTGTGCGGGTGAACAATAAGATTAACCGAGGATATTTAGGGTGGTCCGCTCTTTTTTCTTTATGCTCATAAAACAACTTAAAGATCATTCTAGAGGTGATCAACAATGATACGTCTTAGACCATGTTGGCAGTTTTGAGATATATGCACATTGTGGCACAACTCAACCATCCATTAGGGTGTTAACACTTTTTATATTATCTATAAAATATGGCAATTTACAGTCTATCACTTTCCTCCATAAAACAACATTTTCCCTCCCCTCCATATTTTCCTTCAGAAATAGGGGTAAAGGTTCATTCAAAGTAATTACCCTCTAAGAGTTAGTCTCGTTGCACATGGTAGAAAATATTTGAATGTGATATTTGCTTAATCACGTAAGATAATAGTGAAATGATTAAATTTGAACCGTATTACCGAGAAAGTTTATTGTGCGGGTGAACAATAAGATTAACCGAGGATATTTAGGGTGGTCCGCTCATTTTTCTTTATGCTCATAAAAAAACTTAAAGATCATTATAGAGGTGATCAACAATGATACGTCTTAGACCATGTTGGCAGTTTTGAGATATATGCACATTGTGGCACAACTCAACCATCCATTAGGCTGTTAACACTTTTTATATTATCTATAAAATATGGCAATTTACAGTCTATCATTTCAAATTTTCTCTCTTCTCAAGTTCTCATGTATCCACTACATCACTTTCTACAACCAAAAAAATTCATAAATTATTTTTTACTTTATTTTTTTTTTCATTTGCAGATCTAACAATCTAATCTGGGTGCTTCATCCCTGGACCCTAACTCGATAATGGGTCAGCGAGTTCTATATTGTCATACACTACTAATGCGTCACGTTCGTATTTGACAATAGGGGTGTTCAAATGGTTACCATGGTTATTACCAAATCAAATAAGGCTAAATTTCATTAACCATAGAATACAATATCATAACCAAACCGTCCAAACTAATACAGCAACCAAATTAACCAAACTAAAGTTTAATCGGTTTGGTTAAGTGGTTAACCAGATTAACCAATATAAAATCATATTATCTTTAAGTGAGAAAATTTTCGGTTAATTTATCAATTCACAATTTATATAATGAACAAAACATAACAATCAACACATAGTTAAAATTGACCCTTAACATAAATACATGCAACTAAGACAATTATCTTACGGTTAGTATAGAAGTATTCATCTAACAAAAATTTATCACAATGGTATGGGTTAATGAATTGTTGTGTTTGTTTGCATTGACTTAGTCTTTTAGCAATTTTCATAGGCTGAAAAAGACCTTGCTTTCAAGTTTTCATCCAACATAATGTATGAGGTTTATCTAAATTAGGCGTTCATATGTTGTGGTCCACACTCTACATATACAAATATACATTATATGAACAATATCAAGCTTTGTATTTTATGAGTCTAAAAGAATGAACGTTTAACTCATGAGTGGTTATTCAAAGTATTAAGTATGTGTATATATTAGATATATGGCTAATTATTTATCTGGTTAATTTGGTTTGGCTGGTTAGGAGTGTCTGAAACCAAACCAAACCACCTAAACCAAACAAGGTAAAAACTTTAACCAAACCAAACCAATTATCCAAATTAACCAAACCAAATTATCCAAATAGTACTGTTTAAAATGGTTACCATGGTAACCACACCTTTTGAACACCCCTATTTCACAATGTTACTAAACTATACCAGTAACAGTAAGTTCTACATTGTCATACACGACTAACTCATCTATCACATATTCGTCGTTTCTTCCTCCCTATGAAGCGGGCGCCCATCCTCGCGGGAAGAAAAGTATGATATTTATGGCTAGGGCTATTTAATTATTATATAAAGATGATAATAGATTTACTTTTTGGGCATAAATGATTTGAACCTCAAGTCTAGTAGTATTACCACTAGATCAATTTCTTGTTCATTAGTTAGGAGAATTTAATGATTATCATGCCGTGTAATCGATTATTGAACCGGTAGTTGACAGTTAACAGTTACATCGCTAACTGATTAAACAGTAAATGATCGATTACCGGTACCAAAATTTAGCTAATTAGTAATCGGAGATTAAAAGGTTTGTTATTGACTGTGAAACGGTTAACTGACTAGTAACATGGAACTCATACGTATATAGGAAAAATAAAAAAAAATTTGAAAAAAGGAGGAGGTCTAATAATTAAGGTATTTTGGTCTAAACTTGTCGAATCACTTGTTTGACGTCCATCTGGTTAACCGACATAATTACTGATAACCAACTATACAGTTTAGACTTATAGATAACTGACTAATATAAATTGTGGTTAATTGTAACACAAATTAGTTAATGATTAACCGGATAATCGACTAAAGATTACGGTTATAACTGAAGGGAACCTACTGACAGTCCTATCATATGTACGTTCTTCTCTTATTTAGTTGGTTCATTGAAAACTAAAGATGATTTTTTAAAATGCAGACAATAGGTATGAAAAGAGGGGAAAAAATCCCAAATTACACATGTTTAAAAAAAAAAAATTCTCAAAATACACACGTTATGAAAAAAATTCACAATCTACGCATGTTTGGGTATTCAACGCACCAGAGAAAGGCGGTGATTGCATCACCGCAAGAGAGGAGGGCGGTGATTGGGCACTGATTGCATCACCGATGTAGAGGAAAGCGGTGATTGCATCATCGCTATAGAGAAAGGCGGTGAATGCTTCACCATGTTACCTGGCCGCGGTGAATGCTTCACCGTGTTACCTGGCCGCGGTGAAGGTCTTACCTGCGTCGAAACTTTAAACAAACGTAACTTTATACGGAATCAAATTTTTTTTTGCTACGATCGGATAACCAAGCACAAAGTTACTTTTGTTTAAAGTTTTGACGCAGGTCATGCATTCACCGCGGTCGGGTAATGCGGTGATGCATTCACCGCCGTTCTCAACAGCGGTGATGCAATCACCGCCTTCCTCTACCGTGGTGATTCAATCACCGCTCTTCTCTCCAGCGGTGATGCAATCACAGCCTTACTTTACCGTGGTGAAGGCCCAAACATGCATAGATTGGAAATTTTGTCATAACGTGTGTATTTTGATATTTTTTTTTAACACATATGTAATTTGGGATTTTTCCTATGAAAAGATGAGCAATGATAGTGTGGTTGAAGTCCTCAGGACAAGCCACCACCAATCATTTAGGTATAGTTAGGTGGGATGGCTTGGACTATGGAGTGTATATCTGGTTAATTTGGTTTGGCTGGTTAGGAGTGTCTGAAACCAAACCAAACCACCTAAACCAAACAAGGTAAAAACTTTAACCAAACCAAACCAATTATCCAAATTAACCAAATCAAATTATCCAAATAGTACTGATTAAAACGGTTACCATGGTAACCACACCGTTTGAACACCCTATTTGACAATGTTACTAAACTATACCAGTAACAGTAAGTTCTACATTGTCATACACGACTAATTCATCTATCACATATTCGTCGTTTCTTCCTCCCTATGGAGTGGGCGCCCATCCTCGCGGGAAGAAAAGTATGATATTTAAGGCTTGGGCTATTTAATTATTATATAAAGATGATAATAGATTTACTTTTTGGGCGTAAATGATTTGAACCTCAAGTCTAGTAGTATTACCACTAGATCAATTTCTTGTTCATTAGTTAGGAGAATTTTATGATTATCATGCCGTGTAATCGATTACTGAACCGGTAGTTGACAGTTAACAGTTACATCGCTAACTGATTAAACAGTAAATGATCGATTACCGGTACCAAACTTTAGCTAATTAGTAATCGGAGATTAAAAGGTTTGTTATTGACTGTGAAACGGTTAACTGACTAGTAACATGGAACTCATACGGTGATGCAATCACCGCCTTCCTCTACGGTGGTGATTCAATCACCGCTCTTCTCTCCAGCGGTGATGCAATCACAGCCTTACTTTACCTTGGTGAAGGTCCAAACATGCATAGATTGGGAATTTTTTTCATAACATGTATATTTTAAGAATTTTTTTTAAAAAAACATATGTAATTTGGGATTTTTTCCTATGAAAAGATGAGCAATGATAATGTGGTTGAAGTCCTCAGGACAAGCCACCACCAATTATTTAGGTATAGTTAGGTGGGATGGTTCGTACTATGGAGTGTGTATATATAGTTACATGCACGTTTCAGTTAGGTGGGATGGTTTCGAGGTATGATGACAGAAATTGAAGAGGCATCAAAGGGTTTAAGAAGGTAAACAACTACGGATCAGGTTAGTAATAACACCCTCGTAGTCCTAATTATTAATAATAATACAAACACTATGTCATCTTTATAAAAAAAAAATGGTGAGCAAATGCATTAACTTAAATAAATAGAGAATGTCTTAGAATGCAAAGATGCTGCAACACAACATTTCAACATGTTACCATCTATCTGCCTTCTTCTTCTTCCAACCTTGTTCCACTAGCATCCCATGCATATAGCCACCAGCTTGGGCACGCATACATATTACACAAAAGCATTTATTTGTAGGGATACTCAATCGATGGACCCGTGAAGAGTCGTTCGACTTATTAATAAGCTGCTGCAATTTCGAGGAGACAGTTGAGCAACTCTTTTGTTTTGCAGAACATGAGTTTATGGTCTCCTCCAGCAATGACATAGACCTTGTCTGGCTTAAAGTTCTCGATCTGCCACAACTGAAACTCTTTGGTTAGGATCAAGTCTTCTTCACCATAGATGTAGATTCTCTTCACTGAACCATATCCTTGCTCTGTGAAGTTGTTCCTTTTAGCCAAATCATCTTGAAAGAATGACCCTTTCCTTGTCAACATCCTCGCCAGTTCATAATCCTTCAGCAGGAGTACACAAATGTCAACATGCATATTTATGGCTGAGAAATTTTGTGCATCCATCTATGCGTTTGTAAGAAGAGATTTTAGACAATTTTTTTTTTTTTTACCTCAAGAGGGGAGTTTTGGTAGATGCTCTGCTTCATAAGCTCATGCCCAATCTTGACTGATGCTATCGTCTCATTTCCAATTTTGTATGAAGAGAACTCGCAGTCTTTCCAATCAGAAAAGAACTTCTCCACCCACTACATGAATAAACTCAGATGATTTTAAAGCTGGACTAAAAGAAATTAGGTTACTAAACTTATTTGTAGACAACATTATTATTTCATATTAAGGCAGATGATAGTGTAGGGATTCATGATCAACCATTGAGTAACTAAGTCGATCTTGAGAGACCCATTAAGCTACTTCAACCAAATTTGATACAAATTAACCCCACGCTAAGTAAGAAGAAAATTGTACGGATTGAATTTGCAGAGAACCATTGATTATGCCAATCTGATCGATCTGGTGTTTGAACAGATTACTTAGTCTGTGCAGAGTAATCTGATTCCTCAGCATAGTGACACAGCAGCAAAGGAGGACCATTCATGTATAATTGAATTTAGAGTCAACAAATTATAACTACATGTATTTGAAAAGAGGTAAACATAATTTAGAAATAATATTGACTACAACTAAACAGAAAGTTATTTTACTTTTGGAACCCACTTAGTGAAACTTTGAGCTATCTCAATCACTCAACTCAACTGGTAGATAGAATTAATGGTGTGTAGTGTGTACAACGAAAGCATTCACTGGGTTTGTCCGATTGATAGTAGTTAGTACATATATATACGAACTTTTTATTATTGCAGTGAACGATGATGTACCGTATCCAGAACATAAGACGGCTTGTGTTGGGTGTCAGGCATGAGTGCATTAACGTAGACTGCGGCCGCAATCCTTTGCGGGAACTTGTCGGCGGCGATGGTGACATTAATCCCACCGTAGCTCTCTCCGACCAGAATCACCTTCTCTCCTTCGGGAAGAGATTCCAGCAGCTTCAGCAAGGGCTCCAAGTACTCTTCCACCGACCTGATTTCTTCGATAGTCCGCGGGTCCACTCCACTCGCTGCCAGATCGATGGCACTCACCTTGTGCCCGCCGGCGGCTTCAAGCAGCGGTTTCAGCTTGTACCAAACCCATGCGCCGTGGCAGGCTGTATGAACCAACACGAAATGCTTCTTACCACTATCTCTCTCCATTTCCATGTATTTAGCGTACCCACTTAACTACTTGGTTTTGACTCAAATGAAAAATGCCATTTATATATTGGAGTTCGAAGATAGGACCCAATAATTCATTTCGCTTTATTCATTCGAGGTGTCTGTATGCTGCTCGATTGCTTTATTCATTCATTGTTTGCTTGCTCGGTCTTTGTCCCAAGTCCCAACGCAAGGTTGTTGTTTGATTTTTTATGGAGCAATTTTATTATGTTATAAAGTATTGGTGATTTAATGTACAATTTGAAATTGTAGTATAACGCAAGGTTCTAAAAGGCGCTAGGCGTAAGGCAGGCGCTCGGCTCCTGACTTGCGCCTTGCCCGATTAGGCGCGCCTAAGCGTTCAGAGTATAAATGGAAAAATTCTCAAATATTTCCTGTTTTCTTGAATAATTCATACAATCCAAGTGCATATAAAATTAGCAATGCATAGTTCTTAACAGTAAACACTTAACATAACAAATAACAAGCAAAATAGTGACCAATCATATGCTAATAGGTGCTTATAGAGGCAAGAAGCTTGTGCTACGTACCGAGGAGAAGGAAGGAGGAGCAATTGACGAATTTCGACTTTATTTTCCACTATAGCAGCGGAGCAGTGTGAAGGCGAGAAGAGTGATCGATGACTTTCTCCTGCGGCGGCAGAGAGCAGCAAATGGGGCGAGAGCTAGGGCGGCAGGCGGTAGTAGATGTGGCGAGAGCTAGGGCGGCAGGCGGCAGCAGATGTTACTTCCCGTGTTTCTGATTTTCTAGGGCAAGAGGCAAGTTTCTGATTTTCTAGGACAAAACGAAGAGTATTGGGTTTAACCGCCTAAGCTCGCCCAGGAACGGCCAGGCACGCCTTCTCTCCACTAGGCGCAAACTAAGCGCTATTCCTACCTACTAAGCGCTACCAGCGCCTTTTACAACTCCTATGGCCAAGTCAAGGCGATCCTCCACCGCCTAGCGCCTAATTGAGCCTAGGCGCGCCTTCTTGAACCCTGGTATAACGTTAAATGTATAAGTTCAAGTTGTACTATAAAGAAATTTGTATCATTATGTTATGGTACAATTTTACAATTTAAAGTTATATCATCACATAAATGTACAAGTTCAAGTTGTATCATAAAATAATTTGTACAAAACAATAGAGGTACAATCTAAAGTTGTACCATTACGTTAAAAGTAAATTCAAGTTGTACGATAAAGACAAAAACCTATAGCACCAATGCTATATAGCATTGTAATTTTTTGTTATGTGTTTATGTAAGTGGGAAAGTAACTTTTATTGTAAAGGAATTTGGAAGTAGTTTATCTTAGAATGGGAGAGAGTAGTAGGAGCTGCAGCAGAGAGAAGAATTGGAAGAACAAATAGACTATTTTTATTATTTGTATTTTGGTGTTCTTCTATAAATTTCAAATGATGGATATTTGTCAATTGTTTTTGGTTGCTTTCTTGTTTTTGTATGTCTTTTTTTTTTGTTGACGTCTTGTTTGGAAGGCTTCTTCAACAATTTCTTTGCTTTTCTTTTCTATTTTCTTTGCTCTTCTTTTTGGTGAAATCTCTCCTCTTTCTATACGTAAAGAAGGAAGGATTTGAATTTTCATTTTGGCGAAAGCTATTTTTGGATCGTAAGACCAATAACGGCTTTAATACAATGTTGAAATTTTGGTATGCTTTGATATCATGTTGATTTTTTATGTGTTTATTTAAGTGGGAAAGTAATTTTTGTTGTAAAGGAATTTGGAAGTGGTTTATGTTACAATTGGAGAGAGTTGTAGGAGCTGCGATAGAGAGAAGAATTGGAAGAACAAATAGGCTTCTTTTATTACTTGTATTTTGGGGGAGAAATACACCCCATACCATTAAACTTTGAGGATTGGGGCAAGGATATCACTAAAGTCAAGTTAGGGCATCCGGTACCATGTAAATCAATTAAATGTGTATCCTTCCATTTTTCCATCTATTTATGCCCGGAAGCCTTCCTTCTCCATCCCACACTCCGATCTCCCACGTTCCCTTCACCGCCTGCTTCCCTGCACCCACACAAGCGCCTAGCGGACCGGCTTGGTCCGTTAGCACTCCAACGCCCAAGTGAGAACCTTTCCTTTTAGAGAGAGAAGTAGTAACAGTTCTAGTAAGAGAAGCAAAAACTGAGTAAATGAGGTTTACATACTCCACTATTTATACCCGGGGCGAGATCGACCGGTATCCGTCTCTCTCGCCCGGTGTCAGGTCCGCCATAAATGCATCGTACAGCCCTCACGCATGCGCCTCGACCACCTGACACCTAGGTCAGAGGTTGGAGGCGCATGACATCACACGATCAGCTTTTTGTACACTTCCGACCGTTGGCTGCTTTTGTCTCATACGCCCTTCACCAGATGCCCGGTCCCACCTGTCTCACACGTCATCTTGGCCATCCAGGCCTTTGCCCATGCGCCCTTCAGCCCAAGATTCCTGCCCCCATGGGCTTTTTCAGTCTTCCTGGTTGGGCCCGCGTCTCCGGTCCATTAACAGCCTTCTTTAGGGCTTTCCCTTTTGGGCTGGCCCATGTTCATTCCCCCAACACCATCCATCTCACTAACGGAGAGAAAAAAAAAAAACAAAAAAATACCAACTCATCACACACGTCACCAATCTGATGAGTCATTAATTTTTTTCCACCTCAACCTTAGAATCACCCATCAATATACGAAGTAAAGAAAACCTAATAAGAATCCAAATATAAACCCCTTCCTCCCAAACACGTTCCACTCTGTCTTCCTCCCTTCTTCTCTCTTTCCTAGCTGCAGAAGTAGAAAAACTAAAATATTTGTTTTCTACTTCTTGATTCCCCTTAAACAAATCAACAAGAAGTACCATTTGTTTTTGCATAGTATTAATAAAACGCTTACAGTAGGCTGAAAGAAACACATATGTAATCTATTTATGCAAACAATAAACAATTTCCTGAAAGTATAACTCAACCAAATTCCTTGCCTACTAATTCAAACACTATTCTCGTGAAAGTGACGAGTAGTCCAAAAACGCTAACCTACAATCTAAGAAATAGTCTACAAAAGAAAACATCATAGATTTCCATTCTCCCCTCTCCTTCCGCCATTTTGGCTTCCTCCTCCACTTGATGTTCCTCTTCTAGGTACAAAAGGTTTCCTTCCATTTCCTGGTCTAGCCCATACCCGTTCTCCTTGATGGACCTGAAGATGGAAATTGATGGAACAAAATAATTAAGTTAGTTTAAATATCAATAAGACCATACATGATTTTTAGTTTAAATGAGAATTAGTTACGAGCTGAATATATTCACCCGAAATCCCAAATTAGGTGGTGCTGAAGAGACAATGTTCATTGTTTGCTCGTTACGTAGTTGATTCACATCATAAGTGGGTTGAGTCAAGGGATGGCTTTGGCTAGTTCCCTAGACAAAGCAAAACTAGAACATATATTATAAAGTACTGCAAATCAAAGAGAATCAACCTCTAAATTAAACTTACAACCCATATTTGGCTAGTTCCCTATCAAACCACGTATAGAATAAACCATTACTGTAGCTCTACCATTCCCTTCTAGCATTGTGAGAGAGAACTCATATTAAGAGCTGTTGTTCCACTAGTCAAATATAGAGATTGCTAGAAAATTAAAGATAAAGGAAAACATATACTGCAAAATAATACAAACAAGGTTAAAATTCAACTTACAGCCAATCTTGTTGGAGGATTGTCAATGCTTCCAGCTCCAATTCTTTCAAAGGGAGCAGACAAGCGTGCCGCCATTTCAGCAAGGTTTGAGTGTCTTCCTTCGGACCTATTAATCTCTTCTCCGGAATACCAAACATCAGTTGTGTTGGGTGTCATTGATGCTGGTCGCGACCATTGATTGGTTCCAACTCCAGCTGGTTCATTTCTTGCACCACCTGGTTCATTATCAACTCTATATCGTGGATTTCCAGCACGATGTGCACTCTTGTTGTGACCCTCTCCACCACATTGACTACAATAAATTTTTCCCTTTATCTTGTTCATTCTTTGATTGTTGGACCTATGCTATCTTGGTTATTTTTGTTGGCTCTCCAATACCTCCTCTGACCCTTTTCTTCTATTTATCCTACGTCTCCCCCTTCTTGCCTTAGCATCGATGCTAACATAGGGTTGTATTACAGGGTCTTGGTTGCTATCTCTCCATGATTCAAGCCCAACCATGGATGCCAATGTGTAATTATAAATACTAACATAGGTAGCCACCTCATAACACTTGTCAACATATGGTTCAACCTTATCTCTCTTTGAAAATATGCAGCAAACAGCATGAGCACATGGTATTCAAGTCAACTCCCATTTCCTACATGTGCAACTATGTTTGTTCAAGTCTACTACCACTTGGCCTTCAAGACATCGAACCTTAAATGTATTAGCACCATTTGGTAGAGCTCTATAGTCGAAACTACCCTCCTTAGCCGCATTTATCTTCTTCAGAATTTTTGGGCAGAATTGTCCTTTGAAATTACTCTCAGCAAATACCTTTTTCTTTGCAAATCTAACCATCAGTTGACATCTAATAGTCTCAGCATATGGTACCAGTTGTTGAAGAGCATTAACCAAACCCTGCCTCAAATTTACAAAAACATAAATCATAATTTGTAATAATATGTGCAATCTGATTTGAAATTACAATATCATATAAATTCCTAAAAGCAAGTAACTTTGCAAGTCAAGGCCGGGAAACCATAATTGGAAACCAAGCCACATACATAATTTAACTTAATTGCATTTTGTCCCACTTCCAGGTATACTAAAACGTATTTGATCAAATTACCCAGGGAGACATTATTATAGTTAACATCAACTAAAAGACAGGTTCAGTTCACTGATCAAAATTTACCTTTTGTTTATCACACATAAATGTCCACTCGTCAGAAACTTCAGAAACATTTAAGTCTTTGAGTACATGAGCCAAAAAACTTGTCCAATTCTCTTGATTCTCTACTCCCACCATGGCATAAGCTATAGGAAAAATTCCATCATTTGCATCGATGCCAACTGCGGAAAGTAGTTATCCTCCATGAAGTGTCTTCAAGAAGCAACCATCGAGGAATATGATCTTCCTACAACCAGCTGCGAACCCTTCTTTGCAAGCAGCCAAACAACAATACATTCTCAAAAAATGGTTCTCTTCAGTCTCCACAAATATAGTCGAACCCGGATGGGTTCGATGCACCTCCGCACAATAGTCATGGAGTGTAACACCCTACCCTACACGTATTACCTAATCATATTGTTCATACAATTGCAGCGGAAATAATCTTGGGTGTTACATTAATTATCAAAATTTACCCAAATAAAATTTTGACATGAATTACTCGCGTAATGGGCTAACAGTTCTTGCAACTTATCCTGCAAAATAATTCATCACAAACATATATACTCACAACCATATGCATTGGCTTTTCATAGCCATAGTCACAGTTTCATACTACACAACTGCATACCATACTAATACAAGCCATAATCGTCATAACTTACACAATTACAAAAATATGCACATATCATCAACTTTCCACACCTGTGGATATCTCACACTATATTCGAAGCTAGTATGCACATGAAAATGTTCTCAAAACATTTTTTACAAAAAGGTGTGGATCACTGGCCAAATCCCGAGTAGTAGTCCAAGCACAGAATGGTTAAAGACCATACCTCATCTTGGCTTCAACTCTAGCTCCTCTCCCACCTAACACTTATCTACTGCTGCTGCTGATGATCTGCTTACACATAGCATAAGCAGAGAAGAAGAATAAAAGAGGGTCAGCTCATAGCTGAGTGAGATAATCATAGCATCGTGAGTTCATAACAGAGCATACCCCTACCATACATCTAACAATCAAGCCAAAACACTAGGATCGGACCTCAGCCATCCTCATATCCCAATAAGCAAAAGACTCAACCACTTGACTTATGCATATGCATCTTATCATGTTTTACTTATA